GATATCATCGGGCCGATCGTATAGCAAAACTGTAAATCACATAGCAACCATATGTCCGAGGAAGCTGAAAATTGGTAGGGTAAAAGAGCCTGGAGGGCCATACAACCTCTAAAATGAAGTAAGAAAAGAGCAAACGGTAAATGAGAAAATGCAGCTCAAAACCGAATTCCATTTTGATATAGTGCGCAAGGGGTCTGGCGTATTCTGTAGGTAGCATAAATGAAGGGGCGTCATATCTAGGATTTTGAGAGCTGAATAAAACTGAAAATATCAATGGATATTCTCAAACTAGTAAATAAACTTCTTTCATTATATGAGTCTCTTACCGCATTAAGGAAATAGGTGGCCAAGTCCATATTTGTTGCAAGGGCTCTTAAGCTGGTTTGCAGGTTGGCCCAAGCTCCTTCGATTATGCAGGGCAACCACCTTCACCTCACTGTGCCAGAGAAGAGAGAAGCCACCATGTCGAACCCCTCCTCGAAACGTCCTCGGATATCTTATGATGAGGATGATGATGACGGGTCTTCGACGGCCTCTTATGAGCGCCCCCGTCATCATCCCCTCTATGGCCAGAAGAGCGCATTCCCGGGATTGGACGATGGAGGTGATGAACTGCGGTACGATGATCCGGAGGATGGACTGGAATATTTGCGCATGGTTCGGTATGTCTATATTCAAAGAGCCTTTGCTTTGCCCCCCAAACGATGCGGGGACTTTCCCAGTTCCGCGCATCTCGGGATTCAAGTCGAACTAAATTTTGCTCGATAGATCCGAAGCAAAGTCACTACCGGTACTCTTTTCCGCGCCTACTCTGACCACAGACCCTTCAGATTCAATAACGAACACGCAACGCGAACTGAAGCCGCTTGGACCAAGTAACCCTCCCTTGCCAGCAGGCTTTTACGAGGACGAAGCCTATATTGCGCCTCTGGAGGATCTGAACGAAAACAAGGCCGCAAACACCCCTTCAAAGCTCGATGAACTCTATCCCGATGCGCAAAAATCCTACAACAATCTTCTCCGACATCGATTCATCCTCTTGCGATCGACCCTACGGTGCAGTCCACCCGCTGGTGCTATCAATACTCTCGACAATGACCACCCTATCAGTCTCCCTCGAAAGGCCGGATCTGCGCATAAAACATGGCGCCGGCTTTTGGTCACAGTCGAACCACGCATGGTTCAACTTGCAAGCATGGATATGGACAGCGTGTTAGAGGTGCTGGAAATACTGGCGCGGATGATGTCTGATGTTGTGCGGGGCGACGACACCCAGCGCGTACGGCGCATTGGAGCCTGGGCCTGGGGCTTGTTGGGGAAGTGCCGTGAGGTTGGGCAACTTTCTACCCGAGAGGTGGGGGTTGTTCGCAGTTTGGGCAAGCGAGCTGCGACTATTTTGCGCAAGGTACAAGAGCTAGAGAACGAAGACTATGAGGAGGACATCGATTATTCTGTGACAGACTCACCGAAAGGGGAAGTCAAGCAGGGTAATATCGTTGACGATGAGAACGATACCAAGGAAGAAGCTCAGCGAGGCTCTACAGTCCAGGACGAGGAAGCGACCAGGCAGGGAACTCAGCTGGAACCTTCAGTTAAAGGCGAGGAAGAGACTAAGGAAGAGGCTCAGCCGGAGCCTACGGTCCGCAATGAGGAGGAAAGCAAGCAAGAAGAGTTGCCGGAGGCTGCGGAAGCACAAGACTCTAGTATGGCTGATGCATCGCTCGAAGAATCCGACTTGGAGGCTGCCAAGGCGCGTTTGCAAGCTAGGCTGCAGAACAATTCCGACTCTGTCGAGACACCTGCTAGCTGTGATGATATTGAAGAAGACGATTGGTCGATACAGACCCATGCCCTGCTCGACATGATTATTACAGTGGTTGGTGAGTTCTTTGGCCAGCGGGATCTGTTGGAGGAACGAGAGGTCTGGGATTAGATGGATTTGATTTCGTGTATAAGATACCCCATTGCTACTTAATATTAATTCCGTTTTACCACGTGCCAAAGCCCTGTGTTCTGTACGTAGTGCCTGATCATTCGGCATATCGTGCCTACTTCGTAGTAGGCTGGTCTAAGCTTTCCAAGGTTTGCGTCATGCGGCCCTACGGACCTCACGGAGGCAGCTCCTCACCTCTTTGTTTTCCCCAACTTTTGAGAATAATGATAGTTTCATTCCAATTCTAATCAAAATGGCGCCAACTGTTGAAATAGCGATCCCCAATACCACCCTCTCAAACACCTCACCGCCATACACCGTCTACCACATCACCCTCCGCCTCCCGCTCCGCTCCTTCACGGTCCCCAAACGCTACTCGGACTTCTCGACCTTCCACAGCACCCTCATCTCCCAAACGAATGCCCCTCCACCAGCTCCCCTACCTTCAAAAACTTGGTTTTCGAAAACAGTCTCGAATGAACCATTGCGTGAAAACCGCCGCCGCGGCCTAGAGGAGTACCTTCGCGCGATCAACGAGTCTGATGATGGGCGCTGGCGCAACTCACCCGCGTGGCGTGCATTCCTCAACCTCCCCACCGCAGTCGCCTCAACGGGCACCGGATCAACAAACACCTCCACCCGACTCCACGCCGCCATCACAGACCCAGCCGCTACAAACGCACCCATCACAGACCCGACGCTATGGCTCGACTACTACCGCGACATGAAAAGCCACCTCCATGATGCACGACTACAGTTATCTCGCAGAGACCAGGAGACAACTCCGCAGAAGCAACACGAGAGCTCTGCACATGCGAAGGGCAGTCTTGTCCGTGCAGGGACAATGATCACCACTCTGGACGATGGACTGAAGAATCTAGGACGCGGAGACAGGAGCTCCGAGTTACAGGCGTCGTCCAGTCTCGGTGGCGGTGAGATCCGCCGACGAAAAGACCTACTCATCAATGCGCGCAAAGAAAAAGACGGCCTGGAGGATCTCTTGCATGCTATGGCAACCAAGAGCCGTCTCGATCATACCGTCGCGTCCATCCAAGATAAAGGAGCTTTGATCAATGCTGGGAATGGCGCTGGAGATGTGTCTAATGGGCGTAGGACGCCGGCGCGGACGGGCAGGGTCCTTGGCAAAGAGACTGAGCGCACTCGAGAACTTGACAACGACGGTGTGCTGCAGTTGCAGAGACAGATGATGCAGCGTCAGGATGATAACGTGGATGAGTTGAGGAAGATCATTATTCGACAGAGGGAACTCGGCACGCAGATTAATGAGGAGCTCGAGGTGCAGAATGATATGCTGAGGTTGGCGGATGAGGAGGCTGATATGTTCGTCCCCGCCCTTTTCTCTTTTTCTCCTACTTGATTTGACCATTTGCTAATGAGATATCTAGATTGAAATCCAAGATGGATATTGGAAGAAAGAGGATCGGAAAGATCTCTTGATTTTGACTGGATGTTTTCCATTCTGCGTAGAGAGAGCACTTCTTCCAACTATACCTTTGAGCGGGTCTTTTCAGCATCATTCAAGCCAAGCATTTGCCAATAACATCTTGATATTATAGTGGAATCTTCTTCTACTTGCATGGATATCTTTTTGCCCAGTAATAATCCTCTAGAATGGGCAGAAGGTGCAGGTTCTCATTCTCAGTTGCTTCAGTCCGGGCTCGGTCAAGTCTATCCTTCAACCCCTAAAAGGGAGTTTCTTTCCGATCAATTGCGCCAAGCATGACCTTGAGAATTGTTTTGTTGCCTCGTCCCATACAAACCATCAATGGGTCATCGTAATATCCGTCTTGGTATGTCAAACTCTTGGGTCGCGGCTCAAATTTAACCGTTGTCTTGGTAGGACGGCGGTCATCCGAGGTACAGCTTGTCTTTGTAACCCGTATACCCCAGTGGTCATGCTCCGCAAAAGGATCTGCACCTCTCTCGAGCAAGAGTCGTACCTCTGCTTGACCGAAAACCCAAGGCTTTTTGGTATCGACATGCAGGATGACCCTGTACAAGGGAGTCATGCCATGAGAACACCGGTCCTCAATATCAACACCATGTGCTAGGAGCAGATCAAAAATGGCTGTGGCATTAATGCCACCGTCAGTGCAATGGGAATATGATGCAACCACCGGCGAAGTTTGGTAAGAGTCGTGTGAAGCTTCTTTGGGATCAACTCCTCGTTCAAGTAGCCGCTTCACCACCCCAGTACTCATTCCGAATTGGACAGCGTGCACAAATCCGTGTAGCACCTCAAAGCTCTTACGGTCAATTCTCAACAGCCCCAGATCCAAGACCAGCTCCGCCATTTCTTCTCCTCCCAAGAATGCCTCGTTCATCAATGTTTTGGGCCTCCTCAGGTTGGATCTTCTGTGGTACTCGGGTCTCTTTTCTTCCCGAAAAAGTGAGGCATTTCTAATGCGATACCCCTCTCTACCAATGCCTGTACCGTGTCTACTGTATTGAAGTACAATGCTCTGGCGATATCAGTTTCATCGTCATATAATGAAGTTTCCGTCGGGTCAGCTCCCCGATCAAGCAACATGCGAAACATGTCTGCGGATACCGTCGCGCCATCGGCCAAGATCGCCGCCTCTGCTAAAGCTGTTTCTCCACGGCTGCTTGTGCAATTTACGTCAGCCCCGTTGTCGATCAAAAGCTCTGCGATTTGTACATTACCCAATTGGATTGCCAAGGGAAGTGCGCCCTCATCCCTGCATCCTTCCTGGTATTCCCGTATATTGGCACCATGCTCGACAAGGAGTCTGGTAATTCCAATATGGCCGTTGAAAATGGCTTGGAGTATAGGCCTGTTATACAGCGCCTCACAGCGATGATAGGTTCCATTTGCGGAAAAGCCTTGCTCCAGAACACGTTGCACAATATCATTCCACCCATAGTCAATAGCTATATATAGCACCTCAGCTTGTGCTTCCTCATCTCCGTGGTTTATTATGTCCTCAAAATCGACGAATGTTCGAAAGAACGCAGCAAAAGCAGCCTTCTTCTGCCTCTCAACTTCTTGCAAATGTCGATTTCCGACTAGCGATGATAACAAGCGACATTTCTTCTTCGGCTCCTTGGGGTCTACTCCCCGCTCCAGGAGTAGTTTGACCGTTTCAAGGTGCCCCTCTCCCGCGGCAGACATGAGAGGCGGCGCACCATCAGACGAGCGTTTGGCCCCTTTGTCCAGCGAGTATTCACCCAATTTCATATTACCATGATTGACTGCAACATCGAGTAGTGGTTTCCTATCCCAGTATTTTCGTGTATTGACGTTCAAGAGGTAGCCAGCCTCGACGAGAATTTGCACAACGGCTAGGTGTCCGTTCCTTATTGCCGCAAGTACGTGATCGAAGCCTCTTATACGCCAGTCGTCATGGTCATATCCGAATGTGACGTTATAGGCAAGCAGGAGCTTGACAATGGTCAGGTTGCCGCGCACTGCCGCTAAATATAGTGGAGATCGGGTTTCTGAGGTGGCCTCCTCGGATTTCTGATCTTCACACAGCTTGCAGGTCTGCTTTTCTATGAATATACTAGGGTCTTTGTTCTGTTCCAGTACCAGGCGCACGATAGCCTCATGGCTGTTGTCCACTGCCGCGAGGAGCGATTGTCTAAGATTGTAATGACAGGAATGTATGAAGCTCCAGCATCGAAGGCTCGGCGGATAGTTACTTCGGAGCTATGCTTTACTGCCCATGCAAATGGGAACCCGTGTAATGAGCGGTTGCTGTTTTGATAGAGGATTGGGTTTAGCAGCAGATGTAGCCGCTAAAATGTTCGCGCCAAAGAGTTGAGGTAACGTGCTTCCTCAAAGAACCTGACAACTATGTAGATAAGCTCAGCTGGGACATGTGAGAGAGACATGGATGGCATTTTGAGTATAGGGATCTAGGGGAGATATAAGCAGAATGAGTAACTCTAGAAAATAAATGCTGGGCAAACGAATGATATATCAATTGTTCGAAGGCGGGGGTGAAATAATGACCCGTGGATGAGCCGGTCAATGCAATTAATCCCTGTCTCGAAAAGACTCCCAGAGGTGCACCATACATATACATGTATGTACATAGCATTAAATCGTGTGAAATACATATTATACGTACATAAGTAACTCAGGGGAAGTGGAATATGTATTTAAAGAGAAAGAAGATTAAAAAGGGCATTTTCCCGATTAGGCAGGTGGAATGCGGGCTTTGGGAAAATTATTATTGATCTGACTACGGATGAGGATACAGATCCGGTGGGACCTACCTCCTGACGACGGAGAGGCAGAGAGAGAAGAAGGATCGAATTCTCTATCAACAAACAGAAGCTAGCTAATATAGCTAGCAAACACGGGTGGAAGCCTGACAAACCAGGCATCGGCAGATAGCCTGTCTCAACAGTTATGTCGTCACGTAGTGCGATATCCTCTGCTATTGGAACTAGTATGGTCGAGACAGTTCTGGATCATGGCGGTCAACAGAGATTGCCGGTGTTCTGCTGTGGCCTGCATATCCAGGCCAGAAACGGACAAACAGCCCTAATTGACTCTGGGCCGTTGCACTGCTCTCGGCTTCTCAATATACATACATTCATTCACAAAGGATAAGAAATATGTCATTATATACATGAAAGATATCTCGATCCAGCGCCACCTATAGTTGATGGTCTCCTGGGTTGTGTTATCACTCGAAACAAAATTGACATCGTGATTTGTATCACCGAGGCCCAACGGAGGTCGTCACATCGACAGATCGGGTCACTCCTATGCCATCAAATGTCGATTTCGGCCGATCTCCTTGCTCACTATTACCGTGGATGATTGTCTCAATCCTCGGATTTCCCTGTGCATTGTACATGAGGACATCCTCGTCTGATTCTGCCGCAATAGCACTCATTTGGTTCTTGCTTCGGCTCGACGCGCCCTGGTTTCGCATCGTGCTCATTTTGTATTCGGACTCGCGGGTTGCTTTGTTACTGGAATATTCGTGGTAGATGCGGACGACGAAAGCCGAGAGAGAAGGAAGGCAGGTGCAGATAATGCCAATGGAGACTTCCGCGTTACTAGAAAGGATTTCTCCGTTAGAATGTTATGTTTAATCAAAGCGGTAGACTGAGAGGGACATACCCTAGCATGTTGACTCTCATAAAGGCACGAGAAACATCTGCCGACTGTCCGGTAACGACAATAAGTGCCAACCGGACGATACTGGCTGCAACAGCCAGGCCTCCCGCTCCCAAAATAGCCATAACCCTCATCTTTCTCTTTGTAGACATTTGCAGACTCAAAGTCAGTGGCAATGGCAAGATGAGAACGATCATATCACTGACCACACTGACGACCGCATCGGCCAAGATGATCGATGTCTGGTCTAAACATGTGCCGTCAATATCCTGGTCCCAGAACTTGGAGATGGGGTTGCAGATTCGGATTTTGACGATGACAGCCGGGATGTAGTAGGCCAACATGATTCCCATAAAAATCTTAATAAACATGACGCTTTTTCGGAACGGACTGAATACACGAGCCATGATCCAGAGGAGGCACAATTTTGTGAGATAGGCTGTTGGCCCATACATGACCATTGTGACGTATATAGTCTAGAGAGTCAGAAATTTGGAGGATCAATCATTCCAGTGCTTTGCATACCTTGAAGAAAGGAATCTTGTTCTCATCGGGGACGTCCAACCAGTGTAAGCCTCCTCCATAATGACCCACTGTCCTTGTGTTAGATATAGCTTGTGGCTTGTGGTACTAAAGACATACTGATGATTGCAATGATTGAGTAACAGACGCCGAGGAACTGTTCGAGATATTTTGTTAGCCTATGTTGCCCTCTTTACACGTGGTAGTCCTACCCAGGCAACTGTACATGTCCCTATTGAGGCTATTAGCATTCACCTGTTGTGCGTCATTCCATCCAAAAGTTTCACTCACAATCCTCCTTCCCAAATCCGCTGAGAATGAACAAACGAGTATAAACACGAAGACAGAAGAAGAGTGTCATGGCAATGATACATAGTGACTGGCAGGCGTAGTTCCATTGCTGCACACTCCGGTCCATGGACGCATCCCCGGAGGCCCGTTCGAACAACGACATAGAACGCATCACGGATTCCTGAACGGAGTAAGTCCAGAACTAGTAACAGGGCCCAGCTGTTTCAAGGCAGCCCAGTCTTTTAAACAATAATATAATGGCCTCTTCAGCCAAGAGCCTATAAAATAGAAGGACCCGAGAATAGGGTTCCAAGATCCTTTTTGAAAAATTTAAACTGACATGCTTTTTCTGCATAACTTAATTGAGATCGGGCTACGGAGTATTGATCACCAACGATCGGTTCCCCTGAAACAGAGGAAAAGGACAGGGTTTTATCTGCTCGCAGACAGGAACATATAGCCGGAGCTATGTAATTATGCACCAAGTCCGTGAAGAATAAACATCTTTTACGACAGTCGGTTTATCGGCGGTATTGTTTGCCAACCTCCTTTTTCGTTCCCTTGATGGCAAGGTGTCGAAAGTTACGCTGCATACATACAGTGTACGCTGCCTGGTTCTGGCGCATGGTGGAGAAGTCGCTCAAATACAGGGTGGCGTGTATCTAAGCTTTCATCGTTATTTAAATTGACTATGGACCTTCCACTCGACCTACATATCTTCCTAGCAAGAAAATGCCTACAAATTGCCGAGATCAAGTCAACTAAAATGTTTATATCGAGCAAAAGCTCAATCCAAGCATAGAAATGGTTGCCTATTCCCGAAGTCTCTGACGATATAAATGGCATTCAAGTAGTAATTAATTAGGTAATTTCTGGACTTGAAATTGAGTTCGGGAAGTGGGCCCAAACAGTGTCATCAACCATGGTTGGGCAGACGATGATTTCCCGAGACCACTTTTGACCCATGACGGCATATTTTGAAGATGCAGATTCGTCAAATAAAGTGGAACCTATATAGATTGTGGATCGAGGGTCAGTCCTGTGCGGGACGATGGAGAGTTGTGGAGGTTCTCTGTAACTTCCTGGCGTTCTGGCTCCGAGTGAAACCGGAAGTCAAAAATACGAGGCAAATCCACATTTGAGTACCCCCGTCTATTTTATCTCTGCGACGTAATTGTATTGCATATCATTATTCACGCTCGATGCTAAGCGATGTTGAAGCGGATCCTGTTATCGTGCTGATGAATGCTCTGTATGGAGTAGTTACATCATAGTTTTTTTTTAGCGCTGGCACGTTCGCCCCAAGCCTTCGGTCCACAGTCTAGAACATAGTGCACCGCTATTCATGACAGTCGATCGCCTCCGGGTTACTCGTTGCTCAGAAGCCCTTCTTTGTGCGGAGCTCCGTACAATATAAATTGTATCATTTAGTGGGGCTAGCATGATATCTCCACCCTCGGAACGGGGTGGCACCACCAGAATCAATAGCCCGTCAATAGGTTCATTTGTATACTAGAGAATCTCAACCAAGTGCTAGAAATGACTAGTTATTCCGTATATTGTCCATATACGTCTTGCTCTGCGGACAGTTTGGACCTAGAAAATAGCCATCACATTCGGAGGTGAGGAAACCCCGCCGGGCATGTTCAAAGGCACGGATGCCACGAAAAAGCTCCACCGCTGGAGTTCCTGGCAGGTGCGCGCCAGCGCCTCAAGATCGAATAGTTCTCCTGTCGGTTATTAGTCAATATAATGGGTCTGCGGAACTCGGGGACAACGCTCCGGCAACTTACCGATCGGCATTCCCCATCCAGCAAGCACATATTCATGAAGGAAGATGTCAGGGGATTGTGGTGGGTAGACCTGTGGATCTGTCAGCCCATTTCCCTAATCAAGTCTATCACATGTTAAAATTTGGGGTCAAATTTTCATCGCTCACCTCCCAACTGATCGCATCACTAGCGATGGCGGCAAATCCAGTGTCCCACAGCCAGCGTAAGACTTCTGTGGTCGCCTCGACCCCAGCATGCTCCGGGCTGGGGTTATCCGAATAAGCTTGTTTTTGAGCGTCTGTCATGGACGTGTCCCACTCCTTGGTCACTCCTACACGGACAAAAAGAATATCACCCTTTTTGAACGTGATGTTGTTCTCTTCGGCTATTTCGAGGATGTCGGCGAAACGCACTTGGTGGGTCGAGAATGTGGTGTACTTTATCCCCTTTTTCTCAGCCCATGTAGCGTAGTCAATCAATACTCCACGTCCTATTGAAATCGTGTGAGATAAAACCAGGGGAATTCATGTGAAGGGGATGAGTACCTGCGATGCCCTCTCGGGCCCAATGTTGGAGACCAATTCGATCATTTTGGCGATCGTTAATTTCTTCACTGGTTGTTCCACCATAGAACACACGTTCAGACTGACCAGGTACTGTCTGGGAAAAATGGCGCAGGCCGTCCCACTGGCTACTTTGCTCTGACAGACAATCAATATATTGTAAAAAAAAGAAACAGAAGGGAGAAAAGTAGAATTCCTTTCAACTTACGTGGGTTCATAGTATAGATATCATCGAATGCCACACCTCCCAGTAGAGGCACGATTTGATGGTGACATGGCTGACGATTGAGATTAGGAAAATCCAGTTTCGTCATCTCCCATCCCATCGTCACACGTCGACCACATCTGATCTCGCTGGCGGAAGCCGCGGCGACGACTTCAGGGGTAAGAATAGCTAGTTTTCCCAGACCCTCTTCATAGCTACCTGGCTTTCCTAGCCAAACTTGCTTTGGATTTGGGAGCTGGTCAAAGGGGGTGTCAAAGGGAGACTGGGCCATCGTTGCGTTATTTTGTTGTTGTTTCTGCTGGTCGGAGTCGTGCAGAAAAGTATACTTTGTAGGACCCAGGGTGTCGTACTCCGTACTCCGTAGTCTCTTGCTAAATACAGAGTAGAACTTTTTTTAATGAACTTACATTGACCGCAAGGACTTTTTTGTCGACGTTCCAAGGTTGTAGTGGATATTAATTTGTGGACTCAATAACTTCGGACCGGATCCGCGCTATAATGACTCCACAAGCTGCACCCATTCAACATAATGGATTTCAGGCCGCACGATATGGGTTTTCCTTTCCGCTTTAGTGCTCGCCCGTTGCCGCTTTTTACTCACTGGGTAATACTGAGCACCCACAGATCCATGCAGGAAACCGCGTATTGAAACTGCTGTAATGCCATTGCTACTACGCTCACCGGCTCAGCTGCTGTAGGAGTATCAGTATAATAAATTTACAGTATCTGTCTTACTACTGCAGCTATCCAGAATGTTAGCAGAAAATCGATGCGTAGTTTGGTGACCATTTATGGAAAGCCATATATATCTACATGTAGGTATGTACGTACGTGTTCAACACCTACTACATACTACTGACATCCGTCCTAACAATACGTCAGTGTAGTAATAATACATTTGTAACAGTATGATTGTACCATACAGTAATAATACCATACCGTAGTACGCCACCCTACTACTGTCTCGTACCGTACTAGGATTATAGCACTACTTTTTATGTGTGCCCAGGTGAACGCCCCTGAGTGCTCCATAAGCCTCGATGTGCCCCAGGGCCGCCCGCAGGCCCGCCCAGGCACCTCCAGGGGCAGGCAGGCAGTTTGGCTACCTAACTAGGGCTACCTACCTGCCTAGGTAGCCCTGGAGATGGGCCCGGGATGACTTCAGCGACAACCTAATTTCCAAGGTTCCTAAGGTATCTCTCTGGATGGAGACCTCAGGTATCTTGATTTGGGCATAGCGTTTGTTCCACTTGAATCAGCTTATGTGGCGCTGAACAGGGGATGTATAATTTAGAGCCGGCGACTTTAGTCTTTGTTCGAGGAAGTCGCCGGTCCAACGCACTCGGTATGCAATCCATGTTTTTGCCTATTGTCAGATACATTCTACCACACTTTTTTGAAACGCGGTTCGCACAGTCGGATTTAGGATATGGCTTTGTCTTCTCCAGATGAGGCTGCGGGAGCTACCAAGTCAGAAGATGCTGCTGGCAGTACTGCCCAACCTCAGCATGCGAACAGCACTGAGGGACCAGAGACGAATTCGACGGCGATCCATGGTTTCAAGCTGTATGCCATTTTCATAGGCATATGCGTCGGCGCCTTCCTGATGTCCTTGGATATTTTCGTCATTGCAACAGTACCACCACCACCACCCGCCCCGGCTTGCCATCCGAAAAATTCAAATGGATCTAACACACTATGACTAGGCCATCCCGTCTATCACGTCCGACTTCAAGGACACGTCGCAGCTGGCCTGGTATCCGGCTGCCTATTCACTCACGACCTGCGCATTGACTCCGCTGGCAGGAAAGCTGAGCTCAACGTTTCCCCTTCGCTGGTGCTACATAATCTTCTTTTCCATATTTATGGTCGGCAGCCTCATATGTGGCTTCGCTCCAAATAGCAACACCTTCATTGCGGGTCGTGCAGTCGCAGGCGTAGGAGCGTCTGGTGTTGCTAGTGGTGGGTTTATTATTGTTCTCACTGTTTCTTCCGAGAAAGTGAAACCGCTATTCATGGGCATGTGCAGCAGTTGTTTTGCTATGGGTCTAATCCTAGCACCTGTCATAGGTGGCGCTTTTACGGAGAAGGCAACGTGGCGGTGGTGCTTCTGGGTCAATCTTCCTCCAGGTGCTCTGACATTGCTCTGTATGCTCTGCTTCTTCAAACCCCCATCCATACAGCGCGATCAGACCACTATCGAGCGGATCAAAAACCTAGATCTCATTGGATGTGGAATATTCATTCCAGCTATTTTCATGCTGCTTCTCGCTATGATGTGGGGCGGCACGGAAAAGGATTGGGGCTCGGCAATAATCATCGGCCTCTTTGTGGGCTCAGGTGTGATGCTCATGCTCTTTGTTTGCTGGGAACGCTATCAAGGCGATACAGCTATGATACCGGGTAATCTACTCGTCAGACGAACAGCCACCTTTAGTGTCTTGTTTTCCTTCTGTCATTTCGGGTCTCTTGGCATCATGAACTACTATCTTCCTGAATGGTTTCAAGCCGTCCAAGGCGCAGCTCCGTTGGAAAGTGGTACGCGGGTCTTAGCTGCTGTGCTCTCTCAAATAGTGGGGACACTATCTGCTGGTATTCTTGGTAAGGTTTTAACATCAGGATCTCACACGTTAAGGTATCAGAGGCTGACACTAGGACACAGCGCGGAGAATAAGCTATTACAATCCTTGGCTCTTCATTGGACCTCTCTTGATGTGCACTGCCTCAGCTTTATACACTCAATTTTCGACTTTCAATACACCGTCTAGCCATTGGATTGGTTTCCAGGTTATCCAGGGTCTCGGAGTCGGCATGGCCCAGCAAATGCCCTCTCTCATAGTCCAGCTAGCAGTCCAAGATAAGCCGGAACTTATGCCCCTTGCAATCTCTCTCAACTTATTCTTTCAGTATCTGGGGGCCACAGTCATGCAGGTTGTTGGAGGTATCGTGTTTCGTTCAATTTTGGGCCAAGAACTGGCCTACCATGCCGGTCTGAATGCCCCCCAAATAGCTATGTTATCTGCCGCTGGAACTGCCCATATACGTGAAACGACCGAGCAGAATTTTCCCAAACTGTTACGCCTGGTTTTGGAAGCTTACAACACAGCCATTACTTCAACATTTGTAAGTGGCCCTTCCTTTGGGCAACCGTGTGGCGGGATTGTAACTAACCATATGGACACTGGTAGTTTGTTGCAGTTGCTACGACAGCCACGGCATTCTTCCTAGCTTTCGGAGCCAAGTGGATGAGAATCCATGACAAAAGGAGGACTGAGCCGGAAGGGGGTGAGCTTGAACGGCAGTAGAGACCTGTCAAACCTGTTTTAATGGGTTTCGGGATCCAGAATAAGCCGTTATGAGTTTACGGAATAGAGGGACGGAGTTGGAGTGATCAATGTTGAGATAGATGGATATTAATTCATTACAGGCCTCTCGTAAATCATAAGAAGCAGGTTTGTAATGTGCCTCTGAGCGGGTATAAATGGTATTTCACCTCCGATATATGAAGTGTTGTACCAAATTTGTAGCAAATATACAATGTTGTTATATTAACCCGAAGAGTACTGGAGCCTAATACTTGCGACAAGATTGTTTAGCGCGTAATCTATCATTCATAGGTGCTAACAACGGCAGACCTCTACGACACAACTTACATACGTAGGTAGCAAGGCTTGTCTTATCAAAGATGAATGACTCTTAAGAAGGACCAATTACAACAGTTATTGCCGACTTTATCTGGTTTGTGCCCTTGGCGGGGAAAGAAATGTTGCCACGCCGCCTGGTGTGGACTGCCTTGTTGAGTGGTCGATCAATGTGGAACCCGAATTGAGCCCCTGGGTGGAGCATAAGAACTTCTCGCTTGCCCCTGCGAGCTCGCTTAGGCACGGTCTGGGCGGCTGGCGAATATTGGGCCGGTTGGGCACGACGGCCTACACACACGTATGCATGTATCTATGTATGGCCCACATTCTACCCCACCAAACTCGATCCTCTTGGGTCTCGGATGCGCGACATTCTTGTGGGGGAACGTAGAGAACTCCGAGTGAGAGGCGTGCGTCGCAAGGCACCTGAGAGCCGCGTATAGCACACCAAACTTCATCTCCTATTACTATCTAGCGGCACTACCAAAAGACTGAAAATGAGTCAAAGGCACAAGTGCGAGTGGAAGGGATGGAATTCACGGCCTCGTGATGTGAAATTGGCCTATAACTGGGCAGGTGCGAGTCATGATCCAGGTCCATTTGGGATCTTTGAGGTGGGAGGGGCGGGGGCTTGGGGCCAGCAAGGTTCCCGCAGTTCAGACGCCTATAGCGAGTCTCCAGTTACCTAGGTATCTATGTCATTCAGAGACCTACAGAGTCAGGTAAAAATATCGCAATTCGATTGATACGCCCTTCTCTAAGTATTTCTGCCGACCTTATGAGAAGGCACTGTTCGCCTATGAATAATGAAACAAGCATCCATGGATGGAAAGAAGCAAACGCATCAACTACTGGTGGCGAGGTGGCGCAGCTTGTTTCCATTTCACTGGCCTATGGCGGACTGTATGTAGCCGCCATCGCGTAAAAACGCGTCCTCTTACGGCATATCTGATTGCATAGATAACACTATATTAAAGTCATAAGTGGGGGCTACCCGGGCCTCCCGAGATCTCTAGGGGAGTGGCCGGTCCGGCCTGCGTGCGCCCCTCCTTATAAGACGCACGCGTAGTTCAACTACATTTTAACTCTTCTGTTATAGAAGCCGACGGGATGATGCGGGTAGAATCGAACGGTGAAGGAAAGCTCCGAGCGGCGTGTGACCGATGCCACGAACTCAAGAATCGATGTACACGCACGGGTGGACTAGACAGTCGGTGCGACCGGTGCGAGAGACTCGATATAGACTGCGTGTATAATACCAGTGCACGGATGGGTCGTCCGAGAGTTTCTCGGCTGTCTGATAAAAGCGCCTCGAGTGGTTCCGGCAGCCGCGACAGTCATGCGAGACGCACTGGTAAACGACGGGCCGTCGAGTGCGAACAACTGCATCCCGCCAATCAAGTGCCTGTCGATCATGTTGATACAGCATTCGGTGGTAGTCCCACGAATATCGAGCCGTGCTTGGACTTCTGGATCCTGTACTCCTTCCCGAAGGTATATACATATACAATGACCCTACCCTACACTCAGAAACTGACAGATAACACAAGCTAATTATGGCCAGTTATAGCCGGCGATCATCTGAACTGGGATTTACAGCTATATTCCTCCGGCTTTGCACAACCCCACAACGAGGACCCAACGGGTGGACATGCCCATCAAGCATGCCATCAAGCATGCCATCAAGCGGAGAGCCTTCGACATCTATATAAAATAGGAGCTTGCAATTTCTCCGATTCTGGACTGGGGATGTCGGAAAATTCAGTTCCTGTCAAGACTGGCGGGAATGAGCTTCTGCGGCTACAATGTCATTTGAGCAATTTGGTGACAGGTGCGAGTGAGTCAACCACAGGACACCAGCCAGTCCTGGATGAAGTTATGACAGCATGCAAAGATTTACTCGAGATGCTCTCAGATCGTCGACTGGACTGCGGAGGGCCAGGGCCATTCGCCTCCGCTTGGCATTTCGAAGGGGGTCCTTGTGGCGATCAAAGAGGTCCGGTAGACCCACCGAGGATAAACTACATTGCCGTATTACAGGTTGCTACATCCTACGCATATGCTCTGCAGCTGCTGGACCTCGCTGCGGATAATCTCAAGACCCGAGCAGGGAGCCTGGCTCTCGTGGGCATAGGCGTCTTCAATCTCACATCACAACCAGCAATGAGCACCTCTGCGGGTGCGTACATGATATCCAACATGATTCAAGAACTGCGCTATGCCATCAGCCTCCTGAAGCCTGAACACGAAGGGCTTGCAGCTTCTACACGGAGGCTGCCGCCGCATGCATCACCCACGAGTGGTTCGCAAGCAGGCACTATGACGAATTCGATACAAGCTGCGGTGGACATGGTCTCTGAGGTAGAAACATCTTTACTTGAAAAGTTGTCACGGGTAATGAATGATCCATAGTCATGGTCAATGGGCGCGCGGGAGTTGGTGGGGAAGCTTGCTTTAATGATATTTGTTTCTTCATGCTTCAATATTAAAGACTGGGCTTAATACCAGTAGAATGAATACGACAAACTAGAGTTCCCTTCCTCCCCATTACATCCGCATAGTGAATACGGAGGAACAGCTGACATGCCTTCGGGAAGGCTTCGTATTTCTGTTTGTTAACTACAGAGTAGTCCTCTCTCAATCTCAGATTCTTGCCTCTACACCGTTCTCCGCAATACCACTATTGCTCAATAATTTCAGCCCTTGCTTCGCCCCAATAGGCTCATAGATATATTATTGAGCGAAAGAACTAATTGTAAAAATAATAGCGAGCGGGTACCCCCTGACTATAATAATCTACGACAACTTCTCCTGCAGGTGTCATGGCGGCTCCATCATGAGCAAGAACAAAAGGCCAACTTCCCAATCGAGGCTTTGGTCCTAAAACCTCACCTTCTCAGTTTGCCAGGATTACTAGTGTATTTCTATCGCGAATACTATACTCTGCGACCAATGCGTATTCCTCTGAATATACTCCGTACATATATTTCACAAACTATGGCAATACCTCTAAAGTTCGTGAAATACCGTACCAGCATAAATATAGTAAAATACAGGGCTAGTACTGCTGTATTTCAATTACTCATGTCTCCCGAGGTGTGCTGTAAAATACCCGGCACCTTCATAAAGCGGCACCCCAATCGGGCAAGTCGCGGTTACAACCTAAAATCGTGGCCACAATCTAAAATCCGGCCTCTGTACATACAGCCACAATGTATAAAGTTGGAATTGGATTTGACTCAACAAATGAGCATTGCTTAACTTTAACGTGTTGAAATTTGTCAGTTTTTGAGTCTGGATTCAAAGTTTTTGTGCCGTGCTCGGCACGCCAGTCGTGCTCTCACGAACTTTATGCAGCTCAGTGGGCCACAGCTCCACTGGGTACATCCCTACGAGCCCACCCCCCTGTGTGCTACAAACACGCTGAAATTTCTCCCTCGTTCAAAGCTGATGTTGGCATCCTTTACTATATACCCTTGATTTATTGAGAGTTGTAAGATCTACAACAGACCATCATGGGTAGGTTCGGGTCTCAGACCAGTTCCTATAACAGGCTGGTTACTATTTTTGTGGCTATTGGATCAATGGTGAGCTCGCACATATCTTCAAATTGCAGCTATTCACTAAGCTTACACAAATAGACATATGGATATTGCTCTTCGGTCATCTCCAGTACAATTGGCCAGCCTGGATGGTATGCCTACTTCGGCCTGCCCGCTGAGGGTGAACCGGGATACGCGACCACCACTACCCCTGCGATCTCGACAGCAAATGGTGTTTTCAGTGCCGGTGGTGCTGTTGGCACACTTTTTATAATGTGGTCGTGCGAGTTCTTTGGCCGCAAGGCAAACATCCAGTTCGGTGCCTTCTTTTCACTCTTCGGAGGAGCACTTCAGGCCGGCTCTAATTCACTGGCGTATGTCACTCCTCCCGCTTTAGAATCGGACTGGTGCTGACTAATTTCAGTATGTTCCAAGCTGGCCGCTTCATTTGTGGTCTTGGAATCGGTATCCTTGTGACCGTCTGCCCTATGTATCTTTCCGAGATGTCAAGTGCTCTCCGCCGCGGCTGGCTTGTCGGCCACCACGCCATTTTCCTGGTCTTTGGATACATGCTCTCAGGATGGGTGGGTTATGCTTGCTACTATGCAACAGGCCCTCTGCCTGAGTTTGGTTGGAGGTTCCCTCTCGCCTTGCAATGTCTGCCCGCTTTGGTGCTGCTTCTGGGATCTCCTTGGCTCCCGCGTTCACCTCGTTGGTTGATTTCGAAGGGTAAGTTTGATGAGGCGCAGCATATCCTCGAACGGCTCCGTGAATCACCAGATGACCCGGATAACTTGGCTGCCAAGGAGGAGTTCTTCCAGACGAAAGAGCAAATCAAACTCGAGGCTGAGAGATTGGCTACTTATGGCAGCGTGTGGAAGGCCGTCTTTACAAGGAAAACATACCGAAAGCGAATGGCTATCGGTTTCCTTACCCAGTGGGGCGCTGAATTCGGTGGACCTCTGATCATCGTGAGTACGGCAATACCTAACTGAAAGGTCCATCACACTGACAATCACTAGAACAACTATGCCGTTCTTCTATACACAAACTTGGGCATGGAGGGTGGTATGCCTCTGCTCTTGAGTGCCGTCTGGCTTACAACAGCTGGTGAGGATAACTGTCCACGATCTACTATTATCTACCTCATTTGCTAACCTAGCTTAGGTGTGATTTACAATCCTCTAGGCGCCTGGCTCCATGATAAAGTCAACTCCCGGCGTGCCATGTACATTATCGGCTTTGTCGGAATTATCATCTCTACATCCTGTCTGGCTGCTATGACGGCCGAGTATGCTGGTACGACCAACAAGGTCGGAAATGGATTTGGTATTTTCTTCATTTACCTTTATCTGGCCTTCCAGGGGTGAGTCGAGCTTCAACATATCAAGACTGCTGAAAAAACTAGGCTAACATTCCTGCAGTACTTTCTGCGACACCACTATGTACCTCTATGTTTCAGAGATCTTCCCGACAGAAATCCGTCCAATTGGCATGGGCTTTTCTCTCTTCGGTCAATTTGCTTGTAAGTTGTTCATTGCAATTTCGCCTCCGAATTCCAACTGACATACCTAGCCACCCTCATCCTGCTGCAAACTGCCCCCATGGGCTTTGGCAACGTTGGCTGGAAATACTATCTTGTCATTATCTGCTGGTCTGCATTCTTTATCCCGGGTATGTTTTCTTCCCGTCACATCAAGATCGACCTGTCATTAAAATTCCGCTAACAAAATATTGTAGTCATCTACTTCTTCTTCCCCGAAACTGCTGGTCTCACCCTAGAGGAAATCGCCAAAAACTTCGGCGAGGAGGTTGCTGTTGACCTCACCGGCGCCACGGACGAGGAAAAGGCCCGGCTCGACCGCCAGCTAGCCGCAGGTGAGAACGTTCAGTCGTCTGTGAGTTCCGAGTCGGAGAAGGAAACCAAGCCGTCGCCAACAAACGAGGCTGAGCAGAACGTGCCGAAAGCAGAATAGATCTTTAGATATGTTTAGCTCTTGAGCAGAGAGTGGCCTGCCGACCATGAATATGTAGCTTTTTTGATTTTAAGGTTGGGGTTATGATTGAGTCATGACTTATATCGAAACAGGAAACGATACGCTGCGCTGTATGAGTTGTTGTCCGGGGTTTGCCCTGGTGGGATTGGTTAGATTTTAGATTTTGTTACCTAAATCCATAATAACTTCAGCTTATAAATCATCAGGACGATCCTTCCGACGTCAGTCTTCTCGAGATTGAAACTCTCTCTAACTCGTATACTTACAATACTCAATTATATCTTTGAATCACAATGGGCCCAAATTCGAAAGTAACCTTATTTCCCTGGGATCCCAACTCGGACCTTCATCTGAAACGTCTCGTGTCGCAGCGAGTCGAATGCAGTTGGGACCAGGAAAAGGTTGAGACAAAATGGAAGAATCAACAGCTCAAGGGCGAGAAGTGCATATATTGGATTGTGAGTTCCACAATATTAATATTTTGTAGTCAACACAGCTACAAGTCGAATATGCTTACATTTTATGAAAAGGTCATGCCATCAGATGAGTCACAAGCGATATCGCCAAAAGTAAAAGACAACGGTGCAAGCTCAAGGAAATACATATGCGGCTAACATATAGCTACTAGGAAGATGAAATGCTTCAAGACACAGCCACAACAATTAATGCTGTCCCACGCCAGCCGACAAAAGAAAGCTTCATCCCTATTGGCCACATTTCACTAGATTCCAAGAATCCCGATGCAGAACACATTGAGCTTGACCTACCAGCCGAGAACATCTTCTGGATCAAGTCATTCTACGTCAGGCAGTCCATCCAGGGCCAGGGAATCGGCCGAGCTGCAATGGATGAAGTCGAGGCTATGGCAGTCAGAGAGCCACTACTAGCCAAGATATTGATGCTAGACACGGTTCAGAAAGATGACCAGAAGAGAGAAGAATTTGCGAACGCAACATATGGTGGTGTTCCAAAGGTAAGTCTGATCGTACAGTTTGAGGTCCTTGGTCAGCTAACTTTTATCGTTTCCAGTCTACGAACGAGGAATGGTATGCTCGTCGAGGTTACCAATTGATCAAGACTGTGCAAAACTATTATCAAGTTGCGGATAAGAATGGGAAGATTTGGGATACAAAGACCGTTTTTATGAGAAAGGATATTGCAGGGGGTCAATAACGGTAGTAGTATATGCCGTGTCGAGAGCGTCCTACTGATTGATATAAATTTCAGTTGCGCCTTTCCTAACACAGAGCATGCAGCCCAGTACAGTACATAGACAGTAATAGGTAGATATATATCTCCAAGCTTCGATAGCTGTCGAATTATGTACTGACTGTCTCGTTTTCTCATTCTTCGGATTTCCTAGATATGGCACGCTAAGCCTAATTTGGACACGCAAACTGCCAACCATCGCGGTATCTGGAATTTTCCCGAGGTCCCTCTCTTCCATTAATCATGTACCTCTATGCGTTTGTTCTCGAGCCATGAGAAACGACGACCGGCGTTCTGCCTCGCCGGCAACGCGCAAAAATGGCACTTTACAGTCGTGTGAACCCTGTCGGAGATCCAAACAGCGATGTGACCATGACCGGCCGGTCTGTCGCCGATGCACCACGAAAAGGATCAGCGATAAATGTTTTTATCATCCAGCTCCGATGACTAGGCGGAGACCTTCCGATCCAGTCAATCCTGCGATAGTTTCTAGTCGACTGACCAGCCAACCAACCTCAAAGCAAGCATCTCCTACAACGAATGATAGGCCCATACTAATATGTGGAAACAGCGCTTCCAGCCCAAGTTCAGGCTCATTGGGGAATGGCCGTTTATTCGCGCCATTAGAACCACCCTCAGCTCTTCCTGGATATCTGGGCTCAACAAGCTACTCTGCTGTTCTAACTGAGCATCGCAGCGACATTTCGTTCGAGGCTGAAGAGAGCACAGATTCCTCTGCGGGGTTAGTAGTGGAGCCCGATCGTCTCCAATCCGGGGTTGATGTACTTCGGTTTTTGTACAATCTTACTGTCTATGATATGTTGATTGCACGCTTCTACGTTCGGACATTGAACATCATCGTACCCAAAATCATAATGGACGAACTCCTGCGCTCCGTGCGCCAAATCTTCGACGGGTTCTCCAGTGATCCAACGGCACAACTGCAAGAGTTGGCCAATCAGATATTTCAAAATACCTCCCGGCCAATGCGGACTCACAAATCTATGTCAGTCGAGGAGTACTGTGCCTCTTTCACCGGTCGCAACCTCCGGTGGGAGGCCCTTGGGTCCATCGTCGCTCTTTGCGGAATGCAATTGGTCATTACCCCAGACAATGACCCTGACATTACGCAGGGCTCGGCTGACCCTCGTGCAAAAGACCAGTTACTAGAACAGGTGACTGTGATAAGTACAATATGCCTCGGTTTCTGTGACCAGGCATCGTCGGCAAACGAATTACTGGCAATGTTACAATTCAATGATGTTATGTTGCGAACACAACAATATGGTGATTCCAGTAAGACTTTCCCTTTCTGTATGATCTCATCTCCTATCGATTTACTGACCACCTGTCAGGCTATCAAGCATGGCGTCGATTGGGTGACCTGGTATCCACGATTTATGCAGCTGGGCTACATTTAGAGACTAACGGGGCTGAGAATTGCCCATTCTTTCTCCGCCAGTGGCGGAGGCGCTGCTTTGTTGGTGCCTTCTATATGGACAAGATGATAGCAACATTTGTTGGACGACCGCCCCTGATGAATGGTCGATTCTGCACACTCGCTGCTCCATTGGATCTGAGCGACGAAGTCCTGGTTGCAGGGGGAGATGTTCTCAGCAAAGCTATTTCGGAGCTAGACAGCGCCGGATGGAATAGCGAAGGGAAGTTACACCTAGTAACCCCAACTCGGCTCCGCTATCATCTGGCTATCATTCGGGAAGAAACTCTTGAGGTTGTATTGGGGACTCGGGAGCAAAACAATCTAATCCAGAAGTCCGAGTAAGTATATCTTCCCGTCCAATTCACATGTGTTCTTTGTACTGACATGATATTATAACAGAGAGATCCAAGCGAAATCACGCGCCATATGGCAATCAGCTCCGGATCAGCTTCGATATGACCGGCGATCGAACGACCATCTCTCTGATGGGTGGCTCACCATTGTCTATTTCTATTTGGATTATTTATACACTTGCTTTTTACTCTATCGAGCAGTCGCAAAGCACACGAACACCGGACAAGCGGATCTTTGCGACATATCTCGTCGGGTGCTAGCCATTGTCATTCAGATTAATTCGTTCCGAACCCCAATGGTCGATCTAGACCGGCACTTTTCTTGGATCGTATGTCGTCCACTGTTGCCATCCATGGATGGAGGCGAAACATTTACTAATAAATGCAGGTCCTTACGTACGGTGTCCCTTCCGCCAGTGTCCTTCTCCTTGAACTCCTGCGCCAATCGCACGAGCCCGCTCCACACGCCGTTCCCCTCCCGCGCGCTGAGCTGATCCGCAACCTCAGCGTGTTCATTTCTTTCCTATCGTGGGTTGCAGGCCCCGGTCACGGCAACTACCATACCTGCAAACAAGCCGAGAAAAAGCTGTCTCGCATCCTCGATCAGCTACTCGATCCGCAGCCTGTGCAGCAGCATGTGGTGGACGATGTCACAACAGGTCTCGACAACTTCCTCAATTGGTCGAACTACAATACGATCTGGGACTTCAACACCGATTATATGCCTCTTACCGAGGGCTTTGCGCCTTAAACATCATTATACTATCGTGAAGATCGTTCAGAGCTAAAAGATGTATTCATCACGTCGTTATTGTATTACTCCCTCCCCTCCGATCGCCGGCTGGTATCTGGTCATACCATCCAGAGATACTCATTGCGGGGAGGTGTATCGGCCACGTAATAGGCCCGATGGCACAGCGGGCAATTGAAATGGTCCCCCAAGAACCACTTCTCCAAGCATTCCCGGTGGAAAACGTGTAAGCACCGCAGCTCGCGAATCTCCTGCGTGCGATCTACTTGCTCCAAACAAACGGCGCTGAGCAGAACGTCAGCCACTACTCTACCGGCCAAGTAAGGTGAACATACCAAACGAACTGTCCATCGACGGCCTCCGACAGTCCGAGATTCCCCTTTGTGGCCGTCCACCACTTCTCGAGCGTGCAAGTTGGCGAGACCTTATCCAATTTGCGCAACCGCTCACTGGAGCTTTTCTTTGATCCCAGGAATGACCGCCTGTCCCGGCGGTTGATGAGTATTGTCAGACTAGATGATACAGTTAGAATGAGATGATTTATGATTCATGTAACATGTAACACCGACGGAGGGAATGTATCGGTGCGAATGGGGGATGGAGGAGACACAAGAGATAACATGCAATAAGAAGCAAATAATTTCCATCTCACTCACATCAAACTAAGCACGATGAGTAGCACCACCCCAAGCCCGATGCCCAAGACGATCGCCATATGGTTCTTCTTCAGTTTCGCGTCTTCAGCCATCTCTCCGAGTCCAGGATTCTTCGTCGCACGAGCGGGTGGTCAAAGTCGCGTCGATGAGATGGGGTGTGATGGTGACCAAGGTCGAAAGCGAAATAAAAGACCGGACTCAAAAGGCTTTGATCCCGAAGTGCTAGTGATCACAAGCTAAAAATGGGTGTCACAGCCCGGTTGCCGCACCGGCTCAAGAAGTCTGATCGTGGTATAACACTAGACTAGATCTTTCCGAAAGAACAAATAGACACAAAGGAAAGAAAGAGCCGAAATACCAGTCAGAATCCAGGAACCGAGACCAGTAGAGAAGAGTGAGAATGTCAAAAACCAAAAGAGATAGGAATTGTAAATGTAATGAGCACGAATATCAACCTGGGGATGATCTCCATGTCCAAGCGTCAAAGCGGGGAAGAGACGTGGATCATCGTATCCATGGATGAGCTATTATTTTCCTCTTCTTATTTAGGTATCGACCTGTATTGGACCAATCAACGTGAAATGGAAGGGATGGGCCCATGGAATGTTGATCGGATTGTCCTTTCGTTGATCATGGGATTGGCAGAGATACAAAGTACTTGAAACATAGGTAGATGCCTTCTTATTCTATATCCTGGTATTTTTCTATTAGTCTGGCCATATGCGCAGATCCATGGATTATATGCCAGATGACTCTTTTAAAGTCGGCCAAGACTTACCACCCCACTCCCCTACTTTTATTATTGCAAGGGTTGTACTGTTTCATGGACACATTCTGCGAAGATTCTAGGCAGTACTGACTCTTTCCTGGTATTCTAGACTCCTACTTTATTTTTCTCACTATTAGAGCTTAGATCTAAATCCAACTGGAATCGTGGATAGGCACAAACTGCTACTCTATCCATAGGTAATAGCTCAGAAATACTATAAGCAGACATAATGCAAGGGCAATAAAGATCTACTAGATATGCATTGATATACACCTGTAGCAAGCATCGGTCACATGTAGATCTCTTTGGATATGGCTGTGATGATACGTAGTAGACATAAAATAGTTATGCTGAGGACATTATGGGATAGGAAAAAACTCCTTCCATGGTCGGACGCAGGCCATGTAAAATATCTACCATCTGCTTGCACAGTAGGTTTCTGTCCAAGTAATGGAGTTCATCACAGTCCCATCCGGCGTATAATGTACTTATTAGTAGAGCTACATCTTCTACATTCATTGCAGATATGCTTTTCTCTTTTGTCTAGTAGTTGCATTTCCAGTTGACGCCATGCATGTGTAAGTTCCTGTAACTTACCCAGCGTACATCTACCGAAGCGCATATGAATATTCTTGGTCTATTAGTGGGCGCACTCGGCTTAGCAGACTGGGAGACATGGACGCTAGACCAATGACATAGGTGAAAATGCAGCCCACAGTGGCCATTTAAGGGCTCTGAGTAACTGTTCATAGGTGTCGCCGTCGATCAAACATATGAATGCTCCTAATTGGATGACGAACTTGCGGTTGACGCGGTCTATAGTTAGTCAATCATGTACAACATAGGAAGCAGTCGAAAGCGTCCGCGTTTCTGATTCTTTCTCATGATACCCAAGGAATCTGCAAAATAAGGAGTACGAAACAAGTTCAGAATAGACGTTGAATGTGGCTAGCCGAGGACCTCGAGGTATATAAGAAAGACACGACCAACGGGACTGTGCCTCTGGTGGTTGAGGTGATTTTCCCTAAACTCGACCCGAAGTCCTGGCCCAAAAGGGTCAAGGGGGGCTTGAAATAGTTACGCTCAGATCCGAACATTCCAGTCTGCGGCTACTGTCTATTGGGCTATTAGCTGACCACACTTGAAGCTCTTCACTTCTCTCAGATGGGCGCCTTCACCGGTGACCCACTGCGCACTGGAGGTGTAAACAACTGCGGGTCAAGTCATAGACTTCGTTGCCCATCCGAGAATACAAGAGAGATACACATGACGGATCTCTTTTTAAACAGATTAACATTCTTTGCAAAAATTCATCGGGGAGATCACATTCCACCACGTGCAGGTCTGCCTCGTGGGGTCACGTGAGGGCGCGTTACCACGCGTTGGGCACTCGACGGCAGATTAGACGAAATAAGGCAATTAAGGCAATCAAGAGAAAATGGCATGGTTTGACCCTCTTTGGTTTGATCCGAGGGAGATTTCAAATATGCCTGTATCGAACGCGAGGACACGCTTCGCGCTTCACGCAGATAACTGTACAGACTACTGCAACCTCATACAAAATGTGGGCCCAAACCTCTAACAGCTCAACGCGTCAATATAGCAAAAATGTAAAAGTAGTATTGCGAGGCCTCGAGGAAATAGGTAACCCAGACTTGAAAAGATCAATATCAAATCAAATCAAAGGAAGCTTGGTGTCTAAGTACCAAGTACCTCGGGGGAGCACTTTGTTACTAGCGCGGGCCACGTTCTTTCTACTCCGCGTCCACACCGCGACGCGATTTGATACCGTTTTCCGCATGCCACCAGCCTCACGGCTTTTCAGTCTTCTGTCTCTGGTTCTTTTTTTACATTGGCCTGGCGACTGGTGTTCTTGTGTCTTTCCTTTTACCCTCCCAACCCCTCCATGCTCTCTTAGGTGTCATGTCTGACCCGGAGCCTTCGGTGGCGATCCCATCCTCGCCCTCTCTCCCGGCCACCGACTCCAATCCTCTTAACTACGCTTTCCTCGTTCATTCGCAAAAGACCCTCACACAGAACCTCCCTCCTCGTGTCGACAATAAGCTGTTAGCCCGCCAGAAGCGACGGCGAACGAGGTATGCTATTATGGTTGTAGTCCATACTATGAACGCGTCAATTAACCCGATATGAACTATTTTCCAGCCCGGAGGATCACGTAGTCCTCGAATCCGAATACCAGCAAAATCCCAAACCAGACAAAGCAGCCCGCACGAGTATCGTGAACCGCGTCTCACTCGGTGAGAAAGAGGTCCAAGTATGCGATGCCAAGAGTTCACACACAAAAACCACTTCTAACTGGCTCACAGATTTGGTTCCAAAATCGCCGCCAGAACGATCGTCGGAAATCCAAACCCCTCCAGCCTCACGAATTACTCGCCCCGCGGGCGGGCATGCTCAATTCATCAAGTCAACCTTCGAGTGATGATAACGCGTCGGCGGAGCCGGGGTCTTCGAGTGGGGCAGAGCAGTTTGACATCAACGATCACGGCGAGGAAATGGCATCGAAACCGTGGCACGGGGGACTGTTGCAATTTTCAGATGATTCGGACCCAGTGACTGAAGATAAAGGTGAACATGAGCTGCCCCAGAGCACTCAAACAAGCGTGGCAACGGAGGCTGCTGGGGAAACTCCCCCCACCACACAGGAAGAGTTTTCCCAACTGGTGAATGACCACTCAGAAGACTCTCTTCTGCAGGTACCAAAGAGGAAACGTTCAGTGTCGGATACCCGGGGCGAGGGAGAATATGAGCAGCAGCCAGCAACCACACAAAACACGCAAGTCACACCCGCGAAGTCACCTCCATCGCTGCGTTTGTCGATGTCGTTTGATGGAGAGGCTTTGGTACGCAAAGAGGGCGAGCTAACGCCGTCTCCGCCCAAGGGCCGCAACGCCTTGCGCATCGCGATGTCCTCGGATGGAAAGGCAGTAATCCGCGGAGAGAACGAACCATCACCGTCCAAGAACCGCGTGGCAATGTTCTCAGTTCGCCGAACAAAGATGTCCAGCCTGCGACGCAGCAGCAGCGCCGTCTTCCCAGCCACGCCGCGGGCAGGTGTGGCCGACAAAGATCGGGCTTTCGGTCGCTCTCGCGATCCACGTAACTGGGAATCATTCTGTGACACAGACGCAAGAAGTGCCCTATCAACGCCAACCAGTGGGCCTAACGGTTCTCCAGGTCTCTTCCAATCTCGCAGCCAGCGCTCATTACCTCGGAGTGCCTCAGGGCGGCACAGCCTCGCCCACTGTGACCCTAACACACCAATCTCTCAGTCCATGGGAGAGAAGAGGCGAAAGCTCGCCCGCGCCGTTTCATCTCTGGGGCGATTGGAGACAGGCCGAAACAAGGCGAATATGAACCCGTCCAAGCTGTCCAAGCCTCTATTTTCCAAGTCCGGCAAGCCGGATCTAGAGCAAGACCCCGGCGACTCTGACAAGGAGAACTGGGTTCCAGGAACACGGTCAACAAATATTCGTCGTCGGAACACTTCACACATCCCACGGCCGGTCCTCCGCGATGCTAACCGTAATCGCGGTCTCGGAATCTCCACCGACGGCAAGCGCAATCGACCACTGCAGACTAGCTCACAGGGCAAAGCCCCGCCGGAGCTGAGCGCGGAAGTGTCAGCTTTCATGGCCGGTGGTTCGGGAGATACCCAAGAAGATGACCTGGACTGTGTGCAGGGTCTCCTGTCGTTGAGCCAGGGGGCCTGGCGATAAGGAAGGGGTGCATGATTGATTCAATCGACATTCCCAAGCGCCATTGCCTGTCATCTTTGTATCTGCTTGTTTTTCATTTCCTTTGTGATACTGATTTTCCTTTGTTCGGAGCCCTGATGTACTTCTTTATATTTTTATTTGTCTTCGTGATATGTGCTTGCAAGCGGTCATTGCCACTGTCACGTGAACCATGTCCATGATATACTTTTTATTCAGGCCTGTTCATTTTTGCCTTTCTCTGCATCTCTCATGCATCTGGATCTACATGGTTCTTTGTCTTTCGTCGCCGGTGCTTTACTCGGTGGGCTTGTCTGATCCTCCTCGCCTGCCGTTGATGGGGGTTTGACTGAACAAAAGTGAAAAAGCTCCTGAGAAAGATACTAATCCTTGAATGAATGAATGGAACGACCTGAAATACTTATTTTGAGCATGAATGAAGATGTTCGACTTGCCGGTCCATAGTATAATCGACATACCTCGCGGTCTCTAGCTGCAGGGTATCTCTCTATCACACTACCTATGTTTCAAAGCTATACATATGTAGTTCTTCAAACAAGAACCACTTCAACTCACAACGCCAATGTCTAAATCTTTATCAATTCCTCACGTAACAAGTATATATAAACCCTTTCTAAATCAAGACACATTCCCAGCAGGAGGCAAAGAATCATCCTCCACCATCCCCAATCCCAACCCCCCGACAAAGCAACCTCGCAACCCTCTCCCCACTCCAGAACGCACCAGTAGTAGTCCCAAGCGCAACAAACGGGGCCGTATGCTCCCCAGCAAACCAAAGTCCCCTAACCGGACCAATCCCAGCCCCAGACCTAAGAACCTCAACATCCACATCCGCCTCCTCAACCCCAACCTGGAAATTACAATACGACCCATTCCCAGCAAAGACATCCTTCTGCCACTGTGTAGCAAGCAGTGTAACCGGCACACAATCCGGGTTCTCCGCGCTGTACCCGGGGAGCCGGGAGTAGAAGGGCTGGAGGGTTTGAATTAGGGATTCTCTGTATTCGAGCGATGAGGGCGCTAGTCCCGAAAGACGGTTTATTATCTCGGTGCCGCTGTCGCCGTACGTGTAGAAAAGGAGGGTTGGATGGGCTTGTGATTCTGGGAGCGAGGCGAGCGAGATGCATTCTTGGTTCCATTCTATGTTTGGGTGGGAGGTGTACGATGGTTCGAGGAATTGGGCAAAGACGGTATTAGGTGGAGTCTGGGACGCTGGGATGCTGGTGTTATTCGCGTGCCAGAAGGCGCGCGGGAATGTCACGTAGACTTTCTCCAGTCGGCCGTATGAGATGTTGTTGATTGCTTGTTCGAGACGCGGTGGGAGAGCTGGACTGAATGCTGAGGTGTTTTGCTTGAGCCAGCCCAGTGGACAGGTTACGACTACTTCGTCGAAGTCGTAGCTTGTCCTCGTGGTTGTTACCGTTACTTTGTGCTTTGTTTGGGATTGGTTGTTGCGGGGTGGCGCTTTGATGTTTGTGACGGGTTCATTGAGGCAGATATTGGCTTTTGCGGTGGCGGTTTCTGCGACATGCTCTAGGATGCGCTTGTATGTAGATGCCACGATGAAGTTGCCTTGATGGCTGATGTTAGAAAGTCTGATATGCAACCGGGGATTATTTGTTGAAGACACATACTCCCATCGATGCATTCTTCCATACGGAAGAATTTCAAGCTCTGCTTGTCAACTTGGTCGCCGACATATGCACCCCAGAGCCTACAGGCTTCGAGACAGAGCTGTTTCTCTTCATCTGAGAAGTCGGTTTGCAGGACTCGTTCGCGGAAGAAATCGAACAGACTCCTCTCGGCGGGGATGCTTTCTCCATGGTCATTGCTGTATTTGAAGGCTTCTGCTATAGTAGTCCATACAAAGTCCTGGACCTTAGTGGCCACTTCGTCGGTGATCGGGTGGCCGTCTCGTGAGTAGGTGGTATGCCTTCCACCTTCGGGATCGTATATGACTGTTCCAGTTTCTTCCGCTATGGTCCTTATTGGGTTCTCCCCCGAGCCATGAATCCAATTAGGGCCTCTGAATTGAGCATTAGCTGGTGTATACTTTCCACATCGTCATGGAGGGATACATACAGATCCACCGCATGGTCTCCAACTGTTGATTGGTGAACCTAAACGATAGAAAAAAGTTAAAAAATCGACTGGACTCTCGCGGGTTTGCCCCCGGATAGAAGGAAGACTTACTCTCCCACCAATGCGATCTCTTGCTTCTAGGATTGTTACTCGGGCTCCGTTTTGGATGAGGATGTCGGCGCACCGGAGGCCTGAAATGCCTGCGCCGATGACGCCGATATGCGGACTCGGAGCCATGCCGTGATTCCAAAGACCAATTTGGGATACGCGATTGAGATTTGGGCAAAATGAGTGGACAAGATGGATCTGGAAGTTTTGATGATCAAGTGGAGATTCTGTATGTCACTGAGTACTGAGATGATTGGTTACCGTTATCCACACCTGGATGCCCTTATCATTGCCAGCTCCATCTATGTCTAAGGTGGTTACTATGGGTCTACTTAGTTTACAAGAGGATAGATTATTTGGGGAAAGGCCCAATTACATTGATAAGCGATTCCGAAAGACATCACATCACAGATGCCGGGTCAAATAAAGGCACGGCAAAATCAGAAAAAAAGGACGGAGCTCAGTTATGACCAGCATAATAGATACAAAAGAAACCATGCGCCTGGTCGAACCCGCTGAACCGCTAGAAGCGGGACACGGTAAGCTCACTGTTAACTGTCGCAGAACTCCATGCCGAAAGCGCTTTTTGAAATGATAAAACAGGACTGCGAAGGATATGTACGGGTCGGAGGTAATGGAAGGGTATCAAGGAAAGTCAGAGAACGAAGCAAAGCGCCACTGAGTAAAGGAAAGCCGATAAGAAGTAATGGAGATCAACTCCATATGCGACAATGTGCGAGCACAAGGGCTGCTTGGTTGTAGTAGTCGAGGCGCGGAGATCAGGTGGAATCGTTCAGACTGGAAAACACTCTTTAGTCTTCCCAGATGGTCTCCAGGTCGAGATCCTGCCGTCGCTCGGCACCACAGACACTCCATCGCTTGCGCTTATCGCCCCGAGCTGCATATCCGCCTGATCCCCCGCGCATTGTAGTGAATGAGTTGGGTGCATCGGATGCCCCACGCCGTCGGCTGGCAATAGTTGCCGCATCGGCTGCATCAGCCGCGGCTTTCAACTCCGCGATGCGATCCTCTTCAAGGGCCTCATTCTCAGCGTCAGGGATGTCCGGGATCGTTTCCAGGGACGAAATGCTGGGGCTTCGCGAGCGAAGGCTGGTTGGAGTTGAGGGGACGGAAATTGACGAAACGGAGCCAGAGTGGCTGGGGTAAGATTCGTTGTATTTGGAACCCAGAACGGGGGAGGAATGCAAGGAGGGACTGGCGGAGGTCTGGAAAGGAAGGGGTGAAGTCGGACGCAGGCGACCGATGCGGGGAAAAGTCTGCGGCATCAAGATAGGAGATGAGGCTGGCTGAGAAGGCGATTTGCGAACAGTTTCTAATTCCGCGTTCTCGGAGATGGTTTCTGAGATGTTGAGAGAACCCATGCGTTCGATGTAATCGTCAGAGCGCATTTGCAGGGGATATCGTTTCGCGTCGACTGGTGCCCCGCGGCCATTGACGAAGATATAACGACCTTGGGAGTCCAGGCCGGGGGAGGAATAAGCGCGCGTCATAGACGGCATGCCCGGGATTCCAGCCAGTGATCGAGAGCGGAGATGCGATCGGGCCAAAGGGGATCGTGTCCGAGGCGCTGCCGGTGAAAAAGTAATCATGACGTCCTCCTTATCCTCGGGGACAACCCCAGAGTTGGGGTTGAGTTCGTGAGGGCGCATCTCTTGAGGTCGTGACTCCATGTGTAAAGAAAAAAAAAGGGGGGGGAGGAGGGGGAAGGTAAGAGAGCATTAC